GGAAGGGGGCTCCTTCCCTCCTCTTTTCCAAGCAGTCCCTGGGGATCCCTCCTGCTCGGGTCCCAGCTCCAGGCATGAGGAGCTGTAGAGGCAGTTCTCACCAGCTCCACCAGGGCCATTCCCACCTCCCAGCCACAGGGACGTAGGGGATCACACCAGTGTCTCCCCCACAACAGCGGAAGGTGGTTCTGGGCACATGGGGACCGTGGCCCTGTCTAGGTACTGCCCATCCTGAGAAGCCCCAGGGAGCACACCTACCACTGCCAGGCCACGCCTCCCATGCACACAGGGCATCCCAGCGCTCATTGCCTACCCAGCCCACCGCCCCCCACGCCAGTAGCCACTGTTGGGACATGAACTCTGAGAGTTCAACAGGGAGCCCTACCCCAGAGACCTGTACCCTACTTTGCACTGGTGGCTCCAACCGTGCCCCCAGCACAAAGCCAGCAGCTGGGGACCGCATCCTTCAACACTATCCCAACCCCCAACTCCCTCCCCAATGGCTCACAGTCCAAATCCTGCAGTGGATGGGGAAATTGAGGCACAAGAGGAGAGGATGGGAGGACATGGTCATCCCTCCTGAGAAGCTGGGGTGGGGTCACAAATGAAGAATGAGGAAAGAAAGGGAGGCTGCAAGGGCAGAATCTGGTTCCTTCCTGACCTGCCACTGGCAAAGTCCATATGGGCTGCACCCTCTGCACAGCCCTGTGGCTGGGTCAGGGCCAGGGGCTGGCTCCCTCCTTCTCAGCTCTCCTAGCCCTTGGCTGGGCCCCCTCCCACTCCCCCCTTCTGAGCAGCCCTCCCTGCCCTCTCCCTCCCAGCTCTGGCTCTCTCATCCTCAGCTCTTGGAAGCCTGACTCACTGTTTCCCCTCCTCTCTCTCCTCCCTCACTCTCTCCCAGCAGCGGCGCCTCCCCCTCCCCTGGGGGGACTCTGGCCACATGGGTGCCCGCCTGCTCCTCTCCCTGGGCTCCAGCCCCCCTTCGCACCCAGGAGGCCCCCTACAGCTGTTCTAATTCTCTAACTACAGTGGATTGCAAAGAGCCTAGGTCCCAGCCTGGCCTTGCCAAGGGTAGCCGTGACCCTGGGCAAGTGGGTCCCCTCTCTGGACTTGGTTTCTGCCTCTCAAACAAGGCAGGGGGAGGAATCCAACTGGATGATGTCCCTGGTGTCTCTAGGACCCTAGTGTTCCCTGCTTTTATAACCTCAGTGCCACTTGGCACAGAGCACCCAACAACCTGTGGGGTGCTGTACCTGCCACAGGCCCCGCCCCTAGGTCCCAAGAAGAGCTCAGCTCTGTTCCCAGACATCTGGGGAAGGCAGAGGGGAGATGCTGCCTTAGGGCCAGGACCATTAGTCAAGACCTCTGGAATCCTAGGCCCCCCATTCTCCCTCCTCTTGTGGGATTCTCCCTCTCCCTTTCTCTCCTTCACCTGTCTGCCTTTTCCCAGACATCTGCTTGTCTCTCCTTCAAAAACAACCCCAGCATTTGATCTTGGGTGAGAGGCCCTCAGTGCTGCCTCCCTTCTGGCCACAGGCTGGGGAGTGGTATATTCCCAGGCCTTCTCTGTCCCCAGGCCTGCACCTCCAGGGGCTGCAATCCTGGCTCCTCTTGCCTGTTCTCATTCTCTGTGACTTGTTTCAGTCTCCATCTTTCCCTCTCTTCGCCTGCATGTGGCTGTCTGGGTCTCTCTCCTCCCCATGCCCCCCCTGTCCCCCACCTCCTTGGGGGGCCCATCTGCTAGCATTAGCAACAATTTTACCCTTACTCCATCCGGGTAGTCCCCAGCTCCACCCCATTCTGGCTTCCTCCTCCCTGCTCTGTCCCAGGAGACCCAGGGGACCCAGAGACAGAGCTGGGCTGCAGCCCATAATAGCGAGTCTGCTTGACCTCACCCAGCCAGACCCGAAGGGCCTGGGTGTCTGGTATGCAGGCATGGCACCCCCAGCCCCCTGGGTGGCTGGCACAAGACACAGAGTTCTGTATTCTACGCCCCCCCAAAAAAATAAAAAACAAAACAAAACAAAAAACGAAAAAGATGAAGCTGACCTGGAGGTGGGGACAGAGGGGGGAAGGGGGAAGCGAGGGAGGTCAGGTTTGCCAGAGGAAATCACTATCCAATGGGGAACAAGAGGCATAGAGGAGAGAGTGGTTCAAAGTCAGCGCTCCAGGCTGATTCGAGAACAAGCAATGTCCCTCTGGGGCTCTGCCAGTCCAGAACAGTTCCCCCCACCCAAACGTCTCCTGCCAGGGACAGTCTGCCCCTCAAGCCACCAGCCAGCACAGCCACAACAATCAGGTAAATTGAGACCCCATCCCTTAATCTCCTTCAGAATCCAAGTCCAACCTCCCCACAGTACACCTCCACTTAGCTCAGCAGGGGGTTCCAGAAGCCTCTCTGCCAAGATCTAAGCACATGGGGGGGACAAAGCCCCCCAGCTCCCAAGCCCCCTCCCCAAAGGCCTCATCAAGGGCTGGGGAGCAATGCAAAATAATGCTAGAACCCTCAGACACTAAAACTGAGAAGCTCTGCTGTCTACGCACAGCACCTGGGGGTGTTTGGGGCTCCCAGCCCCATGACCCTGCTCCAGACCCCCCAGCCCAACAACCATAATAAACAGCAAGCTCTTTTTCTTTATGACACCAAATTTCTCCAAGCCCAACAGCTCCTTCCATCACTACCTCAGCCATAGATCACATTAAAAACTCACAGAGGGCAACTTAAACACATCACATTTGTTTCTCTCTATATTATTTCAAAAGTAACGGCATTAAAAATGGATTTTACTACAGAAAATAAATATCAGCACGTGGGCCGGGAGCCCAGGCGGGGAAGAGAGCCCACCAGGGGAATGTCCCTGAAGGCCTGGGCAGGCACAGTTTAGGCACGGACCACACTAGACAGGGCGGACTGCACCCTGAGGTGGGGGCTCCCTGGGGAGGGGGCAATGTCTGCCCACCTGGACACCTGCCCTCATGCCAGACAAAGAGGGATAAGACACTGGTTTGGACTGGTGCCCACTGGCTCCCCAAAGCTCATGCCCTCATCGGTCTTTGCAATCTCCAAAGAGTGGGAGCTCTGGGGCCAGAAGTTCACCAGTCTCTGGGGATTATTCCAACTATTGACACAGCAGGAGAAAAAATGAATTCAACTTACTATCCAGTTTGATTTTCCATTACTATAAAAATAAATATACATCTGCTCAAAGGAGGGAGATGGCAAGCAGCATGCACATGCCACCTGGGGGGTCCCCCCACAGCTCATCACCACAACCCAGCCTGCCTCCCCAAGCTGGAGGGGGAGGGATGGACAGACTGGTAATCTTTCACTTACAGCCCCAGCTCACACAGCCACACACACTGGGCCACACGGAAAAGGAACAAGCCAACAATAGAAACACCCCAAATGCCCCTTGGCAGGACTCTGCCCAGGCCTGGGCACATGCCCCCGCCCTGCCGGCGGCGACGACAGCAGCAGCGGACAAAATGTGGCCACCCTGACCCGGAGGCAAAGCTTGTCCTCACACCCTGAGCTCTGCCCAGGGAGCTGGGGCCAAGTCCCACCTGACACCAACTGGTCCGGCGGGAAACGCCTGCCCAGCCAGACAGGCACAGGCCCCCCAAGGGTCCCTCCTTGTGCTCAGGGACCAGGCTGGTACAGCCCAGCCCTGCCTCCCAGGGTGACGCCTGGACCCAAATTCAGCTGGCCCTGCCAGTCAGGCACTGGTGCAGAACCGAGGGCACCAGGCTCAGCCCCTCCCAGCCCAGCCTCAGGGCCCCCAAGCTGGAAGGGAGGGGAGACTCCCCACCCCTCCACATCTGGCCCTGGCCCCCAGGGTCTGCGGTAGAGAATTCCCGCCCCCGCTTCTCTCTCTCCCTCCTCCTGCTCTGTGCCCGCTGCCCGCCTCAGGGACAGCCCCAGCTCCCGCCTCCGGCCAGCAAGGCCCACATCCTTCCTCCCCCAGCTGGCCCCTTCGCATGGCAGGAGGCTGGGGGGGTCAGACTGCTGGGGAACCCCCCCAGCTCCCATCAGTCCTCATCCCCAGCCCCCAAACTCTAGGTTGCTGTCTCTTTTCCTGTAGAACAGGAAACAAGGTTATTTCCTAGACTCAGAGCCAGCCCCCTGCCCCTCTGGCTCTGCCCGGGGACCCGGACCCAGCAGGGGAAGGCGCCCTCAGCCAGCAAGCAGAGATTCAGCAATTCACCCCCAGCTCCCTGCCTAGGGGGCTGACAGCTGTCACTCAGCACCCCACCCCCTGGGGAAGAGGGGGCCGATTCAATCAGAGCCCCAGAGGAAACGCATTGATAGGAGATTATTTATTTATTTATGCAAAAGTGAGCCGACTTTGTTCGCCAGGTAACCGGGCACGCGGCCCAACCCCTCCGGTCCTGGCCGCCCCCAAATCCCTCCTCCGCCCCACACCCCCTCCAGGTCATTAGGTCCCCGCCCCTCAACTCCCAGAGAGCCAGCGGAACCTTGGGATTTGGGGGTTGGAGAGGAGGGGCTCCTCCCTCCGCAGTCTCCCCTTTTCCCAGTGCCGATCCTAAAATCCAGCCTTGTTCTCCGCTCCCACGGTCCCCCCTTCACCCCCCCACACACATTCTCAGCAAGCTGGAGAGCAAATTGCAGTTTTAAATCCAAAGACGGAGGGAGGGGGAAGGAGGAGGGGGCGCGCGGCAGCGCTGGGCGCGCACCTCGCCCCCGAGCCGGGGGAGCCGCGGGGCGGCCAGGAAACCCGAGAACCCCCCCTCCCCGCCCCCCCTCCCAGTCCACCTCCCCCTCCCCCTTCCCGGCGCTGCCTGCCAGGCTTCGAGCCGAGCCCAGCCGAGCCGCGGGCCCCGGTGGAAACAAAGACCGATCGCACCGCGGGCACCGCAGCCACAGGGTCCAGCGGACCGGACCGGGGGACGCGGGGCCCCCCCGTGGTGCGCTGCACAAAAGAGCCCGACCGGCCGGTCCCCAGCGGGGGTCTAGGGCTTAGGGAGGCGGCGCCACTCACCGGAGTGCTGGGCTGCCGGCTCCGTGGGTCCGAGCCAGGCGAGGGGCTTTGGGGGGCGTCTGTCTTCCGGCGGCGGCAGCAGCGACGCGGGCGCCCGGCTGCTGGGGAGAGGAGTCGTGGAAGAGCCCTGAGCCGCCCGCCGTCGCTGACAGCATGGCTCGCGCCTCGGCTCACATTCTCCGCCGCTAACTCCGCTGGACACGGCCCCCGGCTCCCGCGGCGCCCCCACCTCGATCACTCCTTCGCTCCTTCTGCGCCCCCCTCGCTCCCCCCGCCGCGCACACACTCTCACAGCGCTGGGCACCCCCGCCCCCACCCCCCCAATTGCAAACCTGGGAGGGAACGCGCCCCGCGTAGTCCTCCTGCTCCTCCTCCTCCGCCCTCCTCCCTCCCGCTCTCTCTGGCTGTCTGTCTGTCTCTCAGACTGTCTCTATTTCTCGCTCTCTCTGCCTTTCTCTGCTCTCCAAGCTGGGTGGGAAAAGGAAATGAGGACAGAAAGCAGACGCTGGCTTTGGGTGGTGGTAGCTGGATTCCCTCTCTCCCTCCCTCCCCTCCTCCCCTCCCTCCTCCTGCCTTCTGCTCTCTCCGCTGCGAGCGGGGCTGAGCGCAGCCTGGCGGGTGGCTCGCTCTGCCTGCCCGCCCGCCTGCCTGTCTGTCTGTCTGGTCTGCCTCGCTCGCTCCCTCCCTCCGTCTCTCGCCCTCGCCCTGCCTGCCTGCCTCTCTCCGTCTCCGCCGCCGCCGCCGCTGCCTCTGCGAGCTCGCCTTACCTTCGCCGCTCACCATCCGGAACCCCAGGGGGGAGCGCGCGCGCGGCACGCCGGGACTTGTAGTCCCCGCCCCGGCCACTCCGCGCGCGGGGCGGGCGGGGCGGCGCCGGCTGTTCCGACGGCGCGGCCCGGAGCCCGCGGGGACCCTGGGCCCGGGGCCCCTCTGGCGGGCGCGCCCTCACCCACCAAGGGGCGCCGGTCCTCCCCAAGGAGTGGGAGTGTTCCCCTGGTTCCGTGTCCCCAGCGGGGGCTCTCGAGCGAGCGGAGCTTGCGGGTGGGCGCGAAGGGGCGGGGTCTGAGAATGGAATGGGAGTGGAATAAGGAATCAGGGGATTAGCCCGAGCGGCTGCGACTTTCTGGGGCGTCCCAACTGAACGCGAGGGGAAGGAGAAAGAGGAGAGGACCGGCTCTCTCAATCTGAGGGCGTTCTCCCTTTCTGAAAAGGTTTCCTATTCTGTAAAGCGCAAGAATTTATGGCAGGAGGGGTGCTCCGGGAAACCGCAAAGCCCCAGCCAGTTCCTTCTCACTGAGAGATCCGTCCTCTCAAACTCTGAGCTCTGGGTTTAGCCCCTCCAACTTCTGGTTTTCCTACATGTCCAAGGGCAACAAGGGCTCGAAAGTCCGGATTAATCCACAGATAGAACGCACGCCCCGGTTCTCGGAGTCTGCTGAGCATTTGCGCTGTGTCGGGAAGCGGGATTCAGATTCAACAGCTCTGAGCTCCTGCCGCGGCCGGGCTGGGCTCAGCACTTTCACCTACCTCCTCTTCAGGTCACATCTGTTCTCCAGCCCCTGGCTCCGGGCCCCCTGCCCGACCGCTCCCACAGATGGGAATGTGCGCCGCTGCTGCAGAGGGCCCCTGCCGCAGGAAGGTGGCCCGACAGCCCTGGAAGAACTGCTGCGGCTGCCATTTACTGAGCATTGTAGGGCCCATGAGTCCTGTAAGAACCCAGCGAAACGGCACTGTTATTATTTCCATTTTAGAGATGTGGGCATGGAGGCTCACCTTCCCCAATTAGCAAGTGGCTGAGCCCAGCTGGAGTTGAACCAGGGTCAAAGCCCACTTGCTTAACCTCTGGGCTATGGCAGGGAGTTATGACACACACACACCCATCTGTGACTGACCTTCTCTTCCTGTCTCTGTGTGTCCTCTCTTGGCACTTCAGTTCAACAAATGTTAACCGAGGTATGCGAGGCTTGCAAGGGACAGGAGATGAATAATACATAGTGGCTGTCCTGTCCTCTGTGTGTACCAACACCAGCCCTAATTTGTCTTGCTTTGGTCCCACCTCATCCGCGTGTCTGACATTCTTTTGCTCCACGTTTACTGGCTTTGTCCATCTTGCCCCATGTCTGAAGTTTCTCCAGTAGGGGCCTTTGTCCTTGTCCCACCTGTTTCTAACTCTTCCTTTGGCCCTGCAGGGTGATGGCGAGCATGTGACAAAGGCAGGTGATGACATTTTGCCAACTGCGGCTCCCTGTCACCATCTTCCCCACACCTTCACCCCTTCCAAGGCCCTCCCCTAGGACAGGAGGGCGTGGGAGGGCACTCTCTACTGGCCCTGGTGGGAGGAAGGGGTACAGCAGAAATAGAAGAGGTTTGGGCTCTAAACAGTAACCTATTGATTTGGCATTATGGGGCTGGCATGACCAGCTGGAGAGGCCCTTATCTTGGAGCAGCTTCTTGCAGACAGGATAGGCCTTGGGTTCAAAGATTTATTCATTGAATGAGAAGTATAATAAGGTCAGATATTAATAAAAAGTAGTAGTTAAAGTTGTTAGAGGCCCTTTGCAGCTTCAAACCCTGAGTCTGAAGTTGTCACAAATAGACGAGACTTTGGCATCTTGCCCTAGCTGGCCTCCCACTGGACAGATTTTGGGACTGGGGAGGGTGGGAGAGGCCCAAGTTCCCCCTTCTTTTACCCCTCCTTACCATTAGGCTCTGCCCCAGGTCATGAAGACCCCACTCAGTCTGAATCAAGTTGTGGGAGGGAGTTGTGTGGGGTAATACAGGATGGTTCCCTGGAGGTGGACAGCCAGGTGGGCTGGGATGAAGGGGAGTTTGGGAAAGGCATGGGAGGGGGTGTTAAGTGATGACATGCAAAGGGCAGGAGTAGCAGGCTCTGCGAGGGAGAGGGAGGGGGAGGGGAACAGAGCTAGGAGGGGGGTTCCCAAGCACGCCCCTTTCATGGGGGCTGCTCCAGTGGCTCCCTTCCCCGAGAGGGCAGATGCTATTAGCCTTCAAGGTGTTGACCATTTCTGGAAACCAAGCATTGCAGAGTCTCCCTGTTATTTCGGGGCTGGTCTTTCTCATGTAATCTTTCCCAATTGTTTTGAGTGGGGGTCTCCCCAAACTCAAGCCAAGTCTTCCTGTGGGCTGCTGCTGCCACCTAGTGTCTAATCTCCGCTTTTGCTTCGGTAGCCAAACGCCTGCAGGATGGCTGTGAGCCCCAAGGGGAAGGAGACTTGAGGGAGAGGACGCAGGTTCTGGAAGAGCCTGCGTCACTCCAACCACTTTTATTTTAGTATAAGCAGAAGGTGGAATAGCTAGGCTCTAGGAAAATATGATAGTCTAGAGATGACACTGTTGGGCCTAAAGGTTAGAGGCCATGTGGAACAGGAACCAGGCAGACCAGGTCCTGATACTGCTTTTCCTTAATGTGTGTCCTTAACCTGCCTTAGTTTCCTTGCATGTAAAATAGAGGCATAGCTGTTGAGAAGCTTAACGGAGCAAATGGATGGGAAAGCCGGTAGGGGCCTGGTGAGGGATTATTGAGTCATAAAGAATAATAATGACAATGATTGACAGGTCCCTGGGGATCACAAATGAAGTGAGCCTTGGGAGGGGACAGGCTGCTCTCCTGAATGTGGAAGTTCTGGGGCTGGCCCCACTCTTGGGGCTGTCTCCAGGAGGTGTGGATGGCTAGAGAATGGTTCAGCCCAGTCCACGGAAGGGGAGATTGAGGCCTAGAGAGCTTGCAGGCCTGTCCTAAGCCACTGAGCTTCAGAGCTAGGAACAAGAGGACCATTGGAATGGAGCCAGTATAGCCCCAGCTTTCCCCTTCTCTGGGTGGGAACAACTCAGAGCTGAGGCTCAAGAAACCTTGCAAGCAGGAAGACCCCTCCTTGTGGTACAGTGAGGACTAAGGCCTCCATGCTCCCATTAGCCCTCCTCCTGGGCTGGCCCCCTCCACTCCCCCATGCAAGTCCTCCCAACATTCCTCCAGGCAACAGGAAACCCCAGCTGCAGCCCAGACTTCAAACAGCTCCTCCCTCTGGGGCAGGGGGTGTGGGAGGAGAGGCCAGAGGCCAGAGGGCAAAGGTCAGCTTTGTTCCTGCCAGAGGTGGTGAGGGACCTGGGAAGACAGAGGGGGGCAGAGTAGGGCCCTTGACAACCACACTGCTTGTGTGTGAATTCCTGTGTCCCTCAGGGTGTGTGTGGGTCTCACTGTCCACCTATGTCTGGAGGTAAATATGGGCCCTCAGTTTACTTTCCACTCATGGACCTGATTTATGTGTCTGAGCGTGTATCAGTACCTGTGTGTTCATCTGTGGGTGCTCAGGCTTGGGATCCCCCTGACATGTCTGCAGATGTCATCACTGGTATTGATATGTCTGGGTAATAGGCCTGGTCAAAGCTATGTGTCCTGTGATTGTGACCTGGTGTGGTTCTTTGTGTCCAGAGAGGTTTTCTTCTTCTCCCTCTTCCCCTCCCATCCTTCTTCCCCGCTGATCACCAGAGAGTCCCTTCTGAGAAGTGAATCTGACTTTGTTACTCCCCTGCTCAAAACCCTTCAGTGGCTTCCCATTGCCCAAGGCTTAGAACCCAAGCCAGCCCGAGTGCATGGCAGACAAGACCCACGCCTACCTCACCATCTTCCTCTTTAGCCACTCCAGTGACACCTACCTACTTGTAACTTTCTGCACCGTCCCATTTCCTGCCTTTGAGCTCACTTAATTCTTTCCAGTCTGTAATACTTTTTTTCTTGCTTCTTTACCAAGCAGACTCTTACTCTTTTTTGTCTCTGGTGAAGCAACACCTCCTCTGAGAAGCCTTCCAGACTTGCCCCTGCCCAGTTGAGTTAGGACCCTCCCCTGTTCTCCCACATACTCTGTATTGTCATGTAAACTGTGAGCTCTCTGAGAGCAGAAACTGTATACTGTATGTACCATCCTGAGGTTGGAAATTTCTGAAGGGACCTAGTTCTCCCATCCTTGGGGAAAGTTTCCTGCCGTTTTGGATGTAGTTCCCAGAGTGGCCACTAGAGGGAGTGTGGACATCACTGCAGGATAATCCAAAGGGGGGGGCGTGTGTGTGTGTGTATGTGTGTGTGTGTGTGTGTGCGTGCGTGCGTGCGTGCGTGCGTGCGTGCGTGTGTGTGTGTGTGTTTGTTTGTTTTAGATGAAGGGTAGGAGGGAGGCTTCTATCCTGCACCTGAGAGACACCTACTAGAGTGGATAGAGGATCCACCCAGTCCAGTCCTAGAGCAGTGAGACCCAGGATAGACTCCCCCAAAGGATCCTAAGACCCTCAGATTTTCCCCCACAACTCAGGGCACATACCCCTTGGTTTTTCTCCTCCTACTTCTTGCCTCTGACCCTCCAACCTTACTCTTCCATGCCTTATCTGCACCCTTAACCTTCCTGTGCATAATTATTTGCACTTTCCTGAATGAGCCTTCCTCTACCTCTGGGCCATCGTGCATGCTGTTTCCCAAGCTAGAGATGACCTCAGCCTCTGGCTGCTCCATCAGGCAGAATTTTCTTTCACATACTCCAAGAAATCCCCCAGACTTGACTCCCAGACTGACCTTGCCCCTAAGTATTGTAATTGTTCACTGTTCTGCCTCCTGGATAAGACCAGCCTACAAGAGACATCAGATGTGTGCAAAATAAATAAATGACTTAGTTCTTTTATGTGTACAATCCTCAGCATGTATGGGGCTACCCCAGACCCCTGTGTGTACCATGCCCTCCCTGGGCCTGACTCAGGGTTGATATAATATTTTCGAATACTGCTCCATCAAATAAAGAAATGTGACACAGTGGAATGCATGAGACATTGAGTGCAAGTCCTGGCTCTACCATCTGGTATATGACCTTGTGTGCATGTTGTAGCCTCTCAGAGTCTTCGTTTCCTCCTTTGTAAAATGGGGATAATCACACTTCTGCACTGCCTCGTGGTGAGGATCAAATTAGACGATGCATGTGAAACACCCAGCATTAGTCAATTAGGAGTCCTCCTCCCCCACCATGAACTTGGAAATAAAATTGCCCTCTGAGTCTTAAGCCAGTAAAATCCACGCATCACAGAGAAGAGCCAGGTGGGGGAGTGAATGAGGCGAGAGATGGTTTTGTAAACGACTGAAGAGTTTTGTGAACGGTGCAAACCGCAATCAAGGTGACCCGCCTGTAATCTCAGGGAGGCAGGGCAAGGATGTGATTGAAATTGAGAAAGCAGAAGCCTAATCAATTGCATTGTGCTCTATCTGAAGGGAACAGAAGGCTGCACAGAAAAGGGGGTGCAAGGGAGAATTCATTTAGCTGCTTCAGAGGGAGAGATGAGGAATCAGTAGACACAGGGATTCCAGGCTCGGAAGGCTCTGGTCTCTGCAGATGGTTCACTGCCCTGCTGGGCCTTCATTGAAGCCAGATGGGCAACCAGGTACCAGGAATAGCCCTGTAGGACACACAAGAATATTCTGGTCCCAGGAAAAGACTACAGAGACTAAGAGCACTGATTTTGGAGTCAGAAGACTTGGTTTAAGCCCCTGCTCTGCAAACCTTGAAAATGCTGATTTACTTCACTGTGCCTTAGCTTCATTGTTAGCAAAATGCAGGTACAACAGGCTCCTTTGCATAGAGTTCTGTGGGGATTAAATGGAAGCATGCACTTAGCAGGACACCTGGCACAGAATAAACAATTTGTAAATGGTAGAGACAAAGAGAACTAACAGGTATTGAGTATTTTATTGCTATTTCACAGATGAGTTAATTGAGGCTTGGAGAGATTAATAACTTGCACAACTTCACACAGCTAGTGAGTGGTGGAAACAGGATTCACACCAGGCAGGACAGCTCCAGGGCTGTGCTCTTATCTGCTTACTCCATGGCAGGTAGAAACACTAGCCTCTGGCTTATACCTCAGGCTCTTGTGAGTTTGGTTGGCCAGAAACTATGGCCTTCAGGAAGCCTTAGCCACTGAGAGTGTGCAGACAGAGCTAAGGCTCTCGGCCCTATGACAACCTTTCAAAGCAGCCACTTGGCCTCTCTCCATATTATTCCTCCCATTTATCAATCCCCAGTACAGGGCTGGGCACAGGGAACTCTCAATCTGCTCTGAACACCTTGTTCTCCTTTCCTTTAGGCCACTTAACATGGGGGGTGGGGTCCCAGGGAATCTTTCTACCAATAACTAGAAGAGGGAGGATCTCTCTCTCTCTCTCTCTCTCTCTCACACACACACACACACACACACACACACAAACACACAGGACAGATATGCTCTTTTCCCAGAGCCTAGAGCCAATGAGGTCTAGTAGTAGAAAGACCAAGAGCTTTGGTATAAGACCTGGGTTCGAATCCCAGCTCTGTCACATACAGCTATATGACCTTGGTACATCATGTCACCCTTGATCCTCAGTTTTCTCATCTACAAATGGGGCTAATCATAGAACCAACCAGGCTCAAGACTGGATTAAATAAAAAGATGGATGTAAACATATCTGACATTCAGCAGACACTTAATAATAAATGAGTTATTATAACTACTATTTTTCTCCCCTGCCTGTCCATGAACTCCTCCAGGGCAGAGACAGGTCTTATTTAGTTTGTGTTCCCAAGGTCCTGCTTAACAAAGGGTCAGTGCTTCACAGAGTCATGCTTAGTAATTGTTCACCAACTACAGCAGTGAATCCCAGACCCCCAGACTCTTTCCCTGTTCATTCCCTTATTAAGTCAGAGAGTCAACAAATGTTTCCTGGTGGGTGAGGTGGGAATCCTCATTCTGTCCTCCTCTTGTTTCCACATGGAAGCATGTCAGCCGCCAGAGTTTCTTAAATGGGGAGCGGGGGTCAATTTGTCATTGCACGGGTGCACTGTAGGTTGTTTGGCATCCCTGATCCTGGCCCCCTAAATGCTAGTAGGAGCCCCCAGCCATTGTGACAAACAAAACTGCCTCTGAACCTCTCCAAGAGCTCCCTCAGGGGCAGAACTCCCCTAGGAAGATCCAACAGGCTAAACTAACCTTCAGGCCTCTCCCTTCTCCTTCCCTCCCTCTGTATTTTTTTGGGGAATCTGACAGCTGCAAAGGGTCCACTGTGGCCTCTTGCCTGCCCCTATTGAGGGAGGCCTAAGGTTATCCTGTTATGACCGCAGTGAATGGTAAATCTGCTGAAATCAGGTAAAGAATTAGCAAAACCATTATGCACAGATTGAAGGCTATATTAGTAAGCCTATTCAGTAATAATGAAGGGACCTTCTGATCTATCTCCAATTACCTGTCTTCTGTATCTACCTTTCAACTCATCCTCAATTCATATGAGGATGAGCAGTGAGACTTTTGGGAGTCCTAAAACTCCACACCTTGAGTGCCCTGTGCTTGCTAGGCATCAGGGCACTCTTGTCTTCCCCTGCTGCTCAAAATAGCCACACCTGTCCCATTCACCTCCCACTCACCACCATCCCTCCCAAAGGAAGGTTCAGGGGAATTTCATGGCTCAAGGATTCATATTGTCATTTTCCTTATTTATAAAATCAATAAACACACACATACACACTATTCACAGAGGTGGTAAACTTTCAGCAACCCTCGCCCTCAAACCTGTGTCTGGGCCCCAGTCTTGGAGCACAGCATCCACCCAGCAAGAAAGGGCTCCAGCAAAGACTTTCTGTCTTTGTAACTTACAGACACAAAAGAATGAGAGTAGGAGGTAAATTCTTGGCACATGGACCACAGTGGGATACTAGGAGGGTAGGGAGATAGGTGAGGGGAGGGATATACAATTTTATAAATAACTAGACAACATCTGAGCATTTAAGGGCAGTGAGAAGAGAGAGGCTAGTGGCATGTAGGGCCTCAAGTCAGAAGGGGAGAACTAGTGCTTGGGGCTGGAGGGGTTGAGCTCTGAGCCACCATTTGTCCCATCTATAAAATGATTGGGTTGCCCTAGATGGTGTCAGAGCACCCCAACTCCTCTGACATACTAAGACTCTATAGGGTTCTAAGCCTGGGGGCTTTGGGACAAGAGCCCTGGGGATTGGCAAAGGCTGGTGGGTACCACCAGAGATATGGTTGATGTCTGAACAGGCTATGTATGATCCCCAGGCTGGTACTGTGGTTCCGTGGAGGTGAAGTAGTCCTCCAGGAAGGACTGCAAGTACTCGAAGGTAGGTCTCTCCTCTGGATCCAGACGCCAGGTCTGCTCCATGGCCTCATACAGGGACACTGGGCAGCCTGGGGGGCATGGCATGTGGTAGCCGTGCTCCACCTGTTCCAACACTTCCCGGTTATTCATGCCTGAAAGGTGAGGCACCATCAGTCAGAAGGCCCGGCCCCTCCCAAAGGGGCAGGCAGGCAGGCAAGAGGAAGCCTTTCCCCTTGGCCACTCCCCCCAATCTGCCCCCAAATCCCCTGCAAACCTGGGTAGGGGACTCGGCCCTTGCTGATGAGTTCAGTGAGCAAGATCCCAAAGGACCACACATCTGACTTGATGGTGAATCTGCCAAAGATGGCAGCCTCTGGGGCTGTCCACTTGATGGGGAACTTGGCCCCTGGAGAGGTTGGGGGAAAGGGAAAGTTAGTGAGGAGGTCCCTGGGAACAGCTGGATTAAGAGAATAGGGACTTTAGGAATGGGGATCTTGGGGACCCTGAGTGCAGAGGTCTCTGGGCATAGCACAAAGGAGCTGGTACCTAGTCTGCACCTACTATATGTCTAGTGTAGTGATGGGCACTTTGCAAACCATTGTGATAACTCTCATAATAATGACAGCTAGTGCTTGTACAGCCACTATGATGTGCCAGGCACTGTATTAAGTGATATATGTGCATTAACTCATTTAACCCTCACAAAAACCCCACGAGGTAGATGCTATTACCCTGCTTCTACAGACAAGGAAAAGGAGGCACTGAGTAGTTAGGTAACTTGCCCAGATCACACAGTTAATAAGTGGCTGGGATTCATACTCAGGCATTCTGGCTACAGAGTTCACACTATTACACTCTATTGTCTCTCATTTAAGAATTATAGCTGCTGGGTAAATGTCTGCTGATTTACTCTTGTCTGAATATTTTCGTTTTACAAAAAGAGAAAAGGCAGCTCACAGAGGTTAGGTGACTTGCCCAAGGCCACATGGCTGGTAAGTTGCTGACCTAAGATTTGAATCCAGAAGTGCCTCTCACACTACATCAGGATGGGGGTGTCCTAGATGATCCGGGGTGAGGAGGGGTTTCCGAGCATGTGGGGTCCCATGGCAGCCCCTTGCTGCCCTGAGAGTTCTTGGGAGGAGGGGTGAGGTGGGGCACCTTGTTGAGGATTGTACTCATCATCCTCGATGAGGCGGGCCAGCCCGAAGTCAGCGATCTTGCACACCAGCCGCTCCCCAACCAGGATGTTGGCTGCCCTCAAGTCACGGTGGATATAGTTCATGCGTTCCATGTAGGCCATGCCCGCAGCTACCTGGGGGGGCCAAGGTGTGCAGAGATGGGAGCTCATGGGACTCACAGCACTGTGGCCTGCGTGAGGGGTGAGGGCCTATTTGAAAGCCCACTTTTCAGATGAGGAGACTGAGGCTCAGAAACAGTGTCCTGCCTCAGTTCGCACAACTGATACGGTGGGCAGGGCCGCACTTCCGGGGCTAGGCTAGGTGTTCGAAGGTACAGGGATCCGTGAAAGGTTAATAGGAGGTAGGTCTGGGGGTTAAAGGGTGCTGCCCCAGTTTACCTGGGCTGCCATGTCCACCAACTGGGGCAGGCTCAAATTCTGGCCCTCCTGGTTCTTGAGGAACTCCAGCAAGCTACCTGGAGAGAGGAATCCAGAAAGTCAGCAGCAAGACCCCACTCCCAGCTTCAGGCCCGCCCTCTCTCGCTTGGCCCCGCCCCTATCCGGAACCAGCTAACCTAGTTGGCCCCGCCCCCTTCTCCCAGCGCCCTCCCCCTCACCTCGATCCGCCCCCCTGGGGACCCCGCCGGATGCCTCAATCCGTCACTGATCTCGGCCAGGCCCTGCTACCAGACACCGACTCTGCACATCTCGTTTCTTCTCATCCTCGGTCCCCCTAGACATGACCTACTCACACTCCGCCCCGGACCCTCCCTAGTCACAGATCCTGCGTTCGTTTGCCCAAGCCCCGCCTCCAACCACCACGACGGAGGCTCCGCCCCCTCCCTCGCCCCTCCCCGTCTACCTTGGCTCCGCCCCTCCCTCGCCCCTCCCCGTCTCCCTTGGCTCCGCCCCCGCGCCAGCACTCCTGTCGTTTCCCACATTCCGACCCCTCTCTAGGACTCTGCCCATTGTCCCTCGTCCCCTCACAGATGGCCTCCCAGGTCCCCGGAGACACCCACCCTAACTTCACCCCAAATCCCTCCCGCCCAGACTCCGCCTGCTGAGCCCGCCCCTCACCGTGGCACATGAACTCTGTCACGATGTAGATGGGCTCCTCGGACACCACGGCGTAGAGCTGCACCAGCTTGTCGTGCCGCAGCAGCTTCATGACCTGCGCCTCCTCCAGGAAGGCCTTCGGGGACATGGTGCCTGGCTTCAGCGTCTTCACTGCCACCTTTGTGCTGCCGTTCCACGTGCCTGCCCGGCGGCCGCTCTGGTCAGGACCCGCTCCCCACCAGCCCCGGCCCGCGCCCCGGCCCCCGGCCCCTGGCGCCCGGGACCTCCGTACCCAGCCACACATCCCCGAAGCAGCCGGTGCCCAGCCGGCGCTCGAGCGCGATGGAGCTGCGGCTGATCTCCCAAGCGTCCTTGGCCAGGCCCAGCGTCTGCGGCTTCATGGTGGTGCAAGGCGCCGTGAGCAGGTGGCACAGCCCGTCATTCACCTCTGGGGCAAGGGGATGGAGGTCACTGGCAGGCCAGAACACCCTGCCGACCACACTTCTCATTCCCAGCCCAGCACCAGACCCCAAGATAGTTATAAAGAACTAGGCCCCAGGTGAGGTCACAGGCCAGGAAGGAAGGCAACCTAGTCCCCTGAGTAGGTGAACATGTAGGTGCCCAGGGAAGGGGAGGACACCCACAGGCAGAGATGATCTCTGTCAGCATTGGGGGCCTCCCTGTAAGGACTAGGAGCCTTCCCATAGGAGGTGGCCTCCAGCTGGGCCTTGAAGGATAAGGTGGCATTCTGACAGGTAGAAATGAGTTTGGGGATTCCAGGCAAAGGTGTGGACCTGAGGCCGACACCCTTCCGTGGACCCCATTTTTGGCCTAACCAATCAAGGCAGAAACCTGAGCATTGACTCGCACCTTCCCCTCAACCCTGCAGCCAGTCCTCCACCGAGTCAGGCCTATTCTGCCTCCTGGCCAGCTCCCAAATCGGCTGTTTCTCCTGAACGGCACTGCCACGGATTCAGTCTGGCTACCATCACCTCTCAATAGACAATGGCCATTGTCTCCTAAAGCAACCCTCATTCTGCCTTGCCCCCTGGCATCCAAGTTCCACCCAGCAGCCAGAGTTTCTCACTAAGGTGCAAACCAGCCTCTTGTCACCCCCTGCTCAGGCCCTTGTGACAATGGCTCCCTGCTTGCCCACAGGGCATTTGGAACACACAAAGGCTCACTAAACTTAATACAGATTCAGGACTTGAGGCAAGAAACTGGCCAATTCCCCGCTCAGTCATCAGGGGGCGCTGCTTGGCCGTGTCCTCGAGAATCCCGCAGAGCAGGATCCTGGCCTGGGAACCCCCATACTTGGGTTCTAATCTTGGCCCGGCCCCTAGGGCTTTGGTAGACCCTTCCATGCTCCGGGCCTCGGTCTCCCCAAGTGGACAACGCAACAACGAGTTGGCTCGGGGTTCTGAAGCGCCCGCCCTCACCGACGTAGTGCTGCACCAGCTCCTGCACCGAGTCGAACTGGGCCCGCGTGGTGATGTAGTAACCGCCCGTGTCCAGTTTGCGGATCTTGTAATGCTTCACGTGATCACCTCTGGTCTGGTCCCAATCTCGGATGGACAGGGAGTAGGCGCCTGCGGTGAAGGATCGCTTTGGAAGAGGCCAAAACGGCTGGGGACTCTAAGTTGGACGGTCAGCATCCCTAGAACCCAGTCCCAGCCTTGGCCATGACCAAGCACCCCGCTCCCCATCACTTCTAGCCCTACCGCTAGGGCTGCCTCCCCCCACCCCTGCCTTGGCTGGCACCGCTCCCACCTTTGGTGGTCTCGCTCTCTCGAATGAGAAAGGCCCCCTGAGGGTTGCCTGGCGAGAGCAGCTGTCTCTCTGCATCCTTCCTCCCGATCTTTCCAAAGTACCACCTGTTGGGAAGGGCAGGCAAGAGTCAGGCATACTTCTTTCAAGCCCCAACTCATCCTCCTGGACAGACACCTCACAAGTCAAGACTCAGTTTCCTCACATGTAAAATGGGCTCATACACCTGCGTCACAGACTGGTTGGAGGATCACAGAGAAGGAGAACGTAAAATCCTTGACATGGACTAGGTGCCCAATAAAAGGTAGGCTTCGCCACTCTATGACATTATTATTTTTTAATCATCAAGCCTGGCCTATCTATGAGTTTCTCTTGAATTAAAATTACTAGAACCAGGCTGGGCATGGTGGCTCACGCCTGTAATCCTAGCACTCTGGGAGACTGAGGCAGGAGGATTGCTTGAGCCCAGAAGTTTGAGACCAGCCTGAGCAAGAACGAGACCCATCTCTACTAAATATTGGAAAAAAAAATTAGCGGGGCATGGTGGCTCACATCTGTAGTCCCAGCTACTCAGGAGACTGAGGATGGCTTGAGCCCAGGAGTTTGAGGTTGCTGTGAGCTAGGCTGATGCTGTGGTATTCTAGCCTGAGAGACAGAGGAAGACTCTGTCTCAAAAATAAATAAATAAATTGCTAGAACCCCAGTCACCAATGACCTCCTCAGGGTGTCACGGACCCTTAGTCTGTCCCACTAGAGTGCCTCCATGCACTCATTTTATAGATGAGGAACTTGAGGCTCAGAGGCGGGAAGTGACCTTCCCACAGGCTGGCGGATGAGCTCTACCTAAAATCCTCTGCGGCTCACCGTCTCACCGCCCCAGTTCCCTCTCACCGCCCCAGGCTGTCATCTAGACCCCTCCCCCAACCCCTTTCCTGCCTTAGCCTCCAGAACAACACCCTGTCCTGCTTCTCTGCCCCTCTTTCTTTAGTTTTCTTTTCTTTCTTTTTATTTTTTATTTTTTTCTTTCTTTTTAAATCTATCTCCCTTCCTCTCTTCTTCCTTTTTTCTTTCCTTCTTTCTTTCTCCCTTTCTGTCTTCCTTCCTTTCTTTCTCTCTCTTCCTCCCTCCCTCCCTCCCTCTTTCTTTCTCTCTCTTCCTCCCTCCCTCTCTCTTTCTTTCTTTCTCTTCTTAGAGATGGGGTCTTTCTCTGTCACCCAGACTGGAGTGCAGTGACACAATCATAGCTCACTGCAGCCTCAAACTCCTGGGCTCAAGTGATCCTCCTGGCTCAGCCTCCCCAAGTAGCTGGGACCACAGGTGTGCCACCATGCCCAGCTTCTTTCCTGCCTTCTGAGTGCTCCTGTCTGGCTCTGATTGCTGCTTTTCCTCTATTCTCTTTAACTTCCACAATCTACTTGCACAGTTAGTTTAGGGCTATAATTCAATCCCAGAAAGAATCCCCAAGAGAGACTAGGAGTGATCAAAGCCTGAGGTTGAAGTTGAGACTTCAGACAACATCCAAATTTAAGTGACCACAGGTGTCATAGAAGACTCAGATGATCACTAATTTGGCCCGTGGCCATCTTGGACTGAATTAAAAGGAGCATAGTTTTCAAATCAAGGGAGGTAGACTTCTCAATGAACTCTGGGATAGTCAGTCCACACCTGAGTTCTAGGCACAGTTTGGGGAACGGGAAGGCATTGGCAAGAGGCATATCTAGGAGGACAACCAGGAGGAAGAAGGAGGAACTGTTGAAGGATCGTTTAGACAGACCACATTTCTAAGTTTTTGCAAAGCCCTGTCCATACACAAAACATTAGCTAAGCTACTTCCTTAATAATCAATATAACAGGCCAGGCACGGTGGCTCACGCCTGTAATCCTAGCACTCTGGGAGGCCGGGGCGGGCGGATTGCTCGAGGTCAGGAGTTCGAAACCAGCCTGAGCAAGAGTGAGACCCCGTCTCTACTATAAATAGAAACAAATTAATTGGCCAGCTAATGTATATAGAAAAAATCAGCCGGGCATGGTGGTGCATGCCTGTAGTCCCAGCTACTCGGGAGGCTGAGGCAGGAGGATCACTTGAGCCCAGGAGTTTGAGGTTGCTGTGAGCTAGGCTGACACCACGGCACTCACTCTAGCCTGGGCAACAAAGCGAGACTCTGTCTCAAAAAAAAAAAAAAAAAATCAATATAACAATAAGAGCACTTGTTTTGTGTTAGGCTCTGCTATAATACATGTAAGTATTCATTTAACTCTCATAACAATGTTGTGAGGTAGGTACTATTATTAGGCCCATTAGACTGATGAGGAAATTAAGGTATCTAGTGGTTAAGCAACTTGCCCGAGGGCACGTGGCTCTTAAGCTGTGTTGCCAGAACAGGAACCTAAGCTGTCTGCTCTAAGTCCTGTGCTCCTAACCACAACCCTGCACAGAGCACCTCTCAGAGCTTGGTGACACTGCCCCAAGATGTAGACACAAGCAGGACTCTCCCCCCTCTCACCTCTGCCTTCTGCATCATCACCTCTCCTCTCCTTCATGCCCCCTGCAACCCTGCCCGGGCTAAGGCCTTCCCCTACTGGAGTTCGGGACCCTGTCCACTCCCTTCTGCTCAGAGATACTCCCCGGCCCCACCGAGCAGCCCCCACCTGCAGCCTCCCCATCCCAGCACTGTCTAACATGCCCACATTTCTTCCTTCCCTAAATGAAACTATTCTAACTTCCATCTTGCCACAGCATTCTGCTCTATCTTCTCACCTTCCTTTCACTTGAAAAAGTGCTTCACACTTGGGTCTCCACTTTCTCACCTCCCACTCCCTCCCGGCTCTGCTGTCTGGCCTCCACCCCCACTTCACACAGAGAAATCTCTCACCAAGGTCACCCCTGGTTGCCAAATCCACTGGTAGCCTCTGACACTCCCTCTCATTTCCTGAAACTTCTCTGTCCTCTAGGCTCTTGTGACTTGGCCTGGCCTGGTTTTCTTCCCTTCTCTAATGACTCCTTCTCCTGCAAGGGTGGCTTTCCCCAAAGTTGGGTCCTAGCTAGAGACAATCTCTTTCTCACTCTCCCCCCTCTTCCTTCACCCTTCTATGTAGCTTTAAGTAGCATCTTTACTCTAATGAGCCCCAGATTTCTACCCCAGCCCAGGTGTGCCCTCTGCAAGGGCTACAACAAGCAAACTAAGGAGTCTTAGTGCCAATTAGGAAAAGGTGCCTCTTCCTTTGGGCTAATTCAGGGGCACGGCTTGGCATGGGCTGGGCACCTGCCAGGCAAGGCATAACCTAATCTAATTGCTGGCAGCCTCTTCCACCTGGGTTCCTCTCCACGACCCTCAATCCAGCAAGTACCCACCACAACTCATGTACCTGCACCTGTGCTCCGCACCTTAGCAAATGGCACCATCATCCACTCAGTTCCTTACGAAGACTTTGAGTCACCCCTGACCCCTCCCAATCAATCCCCACAGCCCAACAGCAAAGCAGTCACCAAGTCCTGGTGATTCCCACTCTGCAGTCTCTTCAATCCTTTCTTTTCTTATATATGTGTGGTATATTCTAAAGGATAGATTCTAAAAAGCTCATATTAGCCTCAGTTTCCCCATATGTAAAATGGGGACAATAATAATACCGATAATGTTATTGTGAGACTTAAGTGAATCAAGGTAAGAAAAGTAGTTCTTGTAGTGTCTCAAGTATATAAAGGTACTCCCTGAATGGTCATTTCCTGCCTTCTTAATAGAATTAATACTAAGTAGGCTGGGCACGGTGGCTCATGACTGTAATCCTAGCACTTTTGGAGGCTGAGGCTGGAGAATCGGTTGAGGCCAGCATTTGAGACCAGTCCAAGCAACACAGCTAGACCCCATCTCTATATAAAATAAAATAAAATAAATTAGCTGGGCGTGTTGACACACACCTCTAGTCCCAGCTACTCGAAAGGCTGGGGCAGGAGGATCACTTGAGCCCAGGAGTTTGAGGTTGCAGTGACGCCACTGCACTCTAGCCTGGACAACAGAGTGAGACTCTGTCACACACACAAAAAAAACCCAAACAAACAAAATTGAATAATTCTCCTTTGCTTATGTTTACTCTAATGAGCCCCAGATTTCTACCCCAGCCCAGGTGTGCCCTCTGCAAGGGCTACAACAAGCAAGCTAAGGAGTCTTAGTGCCAATTAGGAAAAGGTGCCTCTTCCTCTGGGCTAATTCAGGGGCTTTACAATTTCTTAAAGCTCGTATATTGTTGTTATCATGGGGAAGTGATAATGTACAATGCTTACCAAATGCAGTCGGTCCTTCTGGGTTCACAGACCAGCTCTGTGAATGGTGTCCAGAACACAGCACATGCTATAAAACTACTATCTACTATTATTATCGTTATTATCTTCTTCTATTCTCACAATGGCCTTAGGAAATTATAGATAAGGAGATAGGCTCGGAGTGGAGCAATGACTTGTCCGAGAGGTGGACTTGGAGTCTGGACTCCAGAGTGCCGTCCCCAGCACTGGCCTTCCCCCAGTCCCCACTCACTCTTCAGCCTGGATGGAGTCCGCAGGCGCCACATAGTTGCTGGGAATGTAGCCAGTTTGTCCAGAGCTGAGGGACCGAGCCTCCCACCAGTCACCTTCACTGTAGGCACAGAATAGGGGGTGGTCAGCAGGCACCAGGCAGGGACCCACCTCGGACACCCCCAGGGGCTTTTGTCTGCTCAGCCCCTAGCCTCCTGCAGCTGCCCCAGGAGGGCTTTTCCCTGCAGAAGGAATAAATCTGAGGACATTGAGGCCTCCTGGCTTCTTCCTCTGGCTACTCAGCTGGGCTGGGGTTGGGGATACAGCTGACTGTGGCACAATCCTACTGACAACACCCCAATGGCTACGTAGTTCCTTCTGGATAAAATCCAGACTTCTCCATCTGGCTTAAAAAGCCTTGTAGAATCTTCTGCTGACTACCTCTCCAGCCTCTGTTCCCTCTGTTCTGCATCTCACACTTTATGGACCACCTAGACTGAACCACTTGATGACTTCTAGAAGTCATCATTTATTCTCATTCTCTGTCACTCTTTCTTTTTTCTCACCTCTTCCTTTACTGTCTATTCATTTTTCTAGTGTCAGCTCAAAAATCATCTCCTCCAGGAAGTCTTCCCTGATCACCACTACTCTGGGGACCTTGTTTGGTGTTCTTTCTGTGCTATAGTTCCTCATGCTCCCCACCACCATAGCAGTCACCTAAGGTTTTCATTGTCATGTATATGTGTCCTCAACTAGGCTTTCTGAGGACAGGGGCAAGTAGGATTCCTATCTGGGGGGTGCTCCCAGTCCATGTCATGCCCTGAGCTAGGTGTCCTGGTCACTTACGTGTTGTTCAGGATGTGGAACTTCTCACCCTTGGTGAAGGTGAGGTCATCCTCTGTCCGGGCCTCATAGTCATACAGGGCGATGAACAGGGTCACCCCGGGCCCTGTAGAGTCAGCAGAGTAGGGCACAGGACAGAAGCACCAAGGGGGGGTCTGTACCCTAGTTCCTGTTCCCCAGGCAGGCACAGTGCCTCCCCACTGCTGCAATGCCCTGACCCAAAGGCTGCTGGAGTCCAATAATTTTCTAATTTGGGCTCCACAACTTGGCCCCCGTGGATTCAGGACACACACATTTACGCCCATCTCTCCCACCATGAGGAGTCCCATGTTGCCCACTCCTCCTCTTCACCATGAAGAAGACTTCCCAACTCTTAGGGAAGTGGCATCTAAGAGGGCAAGAGTGTTCTCTTCACCACTTGCATCTGTCATCGGGCCCCGCTCTCAGACTGGGGTTTTGAGGGTGGGGCTGTCCATATTCCCTCTGCAGGGCTGTGTCTCCCACATCATACTGGAGGCTGCTAAGGACAAGTCCATAGCCCATGGGGCTCACCTGAGATGCCTCTGATGGTGCCACCATCAAGGAAGGCGGGGCTGGTGGGCTGAGGGGAGAAGTTGCTATAGTTGGGGATGTGTGCAAAGGAGGACGCAGACCGGGCCAGAGTGGGGTCGGGGCCGTAGCGGTCTGCCGCGCCATCTGCTGCCCCGTAGCCCCTGAAGTTCCCCTCCAGGCCGGCATCCTCCTTGGGCCCTGGCTCCACCTTCTTGCAGAACACACAGCCCATTCCAGGTTCCCTGCTACAGAACGGGACATGCCTCACTCAGGGGCCCTTCCAGGCGCACCGCCCTATGCACACCGAATGCACACACATGTACACACTCAGCCAGGCATTCGGCTTTGCCTCTCATGCCTGGGCAAGGGTCTGCCCTGTGGGGACAAGGCCCTGTGTGCTGGGTTGGCCTCCCAGAGTGTGCCCCCTCTTCCCATCCACTCCCACCCACATCTCCGGGGCTGGCTTTCCACACAGAGATACTGCTGTGTTTACGTGGATATTTTTCCTTCCTGTTGCTTCGATATGTTGTGTTTCTGCAACTCCTTCAGTTTGTTTGTGTATGTGTGTCTTTGTGTGTTTCTAAATATGTGTGAGTTTGCTTGTCAGTGTGTGTGTGTGTATGTGTGTGTGTGCAGCTCTTCGTAGTGTCTGTGTGTCTATGTCTGTGTGCATATGAGTGTGTGTAAAAGTCTGTGCATGTTTGGCTGTGTGTGTGCACATCTGAGACCGTGTGAGTATGCATGTGTTTCTGTGTGAGCACGTGTGTGTGCCTGTGTGTGTGTGTGAGTGGTTGTCTCTGCGTCTGTGTGTCTGTGAGTGTGGACGGGGCTCTGCGTGGGAGCAGGGCGCCTGTCTGTGCGGGTCTGTGTGCGCACGTCTGTGGAGCTGCATGTGTTTGTGCATGCGTGTGTGTGAGGCTTTGTGCTGCACCTGGAGATTCCCTGCAGAGGGGGATCAAGGCCATTTCCTGTCGTGGGTCCAGCCTCCAGCCTCTCAAGCTGCCTCATTCTGGCTCCCCCATCCGTTACCTAGCAACAGGGCCCTTGTAGGAGGAGGGGGCTGTGAGGAGTTGTGGGGCCCAGGGATGCCACCCCCACCCTGATTTCTGGCCCTGAAATCCCTCATTCCCCTCCCACCCCCCACTCACCCCTCAGGCTCCTGCTCCTGGGTCAGTGGGGCTGCAGCATGGTCCTTGGGAGGGGCCCGAGACTTGAGGGCGAGACAGAAGGACATGGAAGATGAAGGCCCTGCCAACATCCCTGCCAGCCGGCTGCCCAGCTCCTGCCCTCTTCAGGAAGCCAGAAGGCCTGGGCTCTGCCCCAGCATGATTTCCGCCTTCATTTTCCTTCCCACCACCCCTGGCACAGTACACAGCCACCCTCACATGGGACGCGGTGCCCACGCCAGCTCTCACACTCATACCCACCTGACACGCCAGCAGATGGACACACACTCGCGCCGGCTCACAGTCACACAACACTCACAGCACACGCTTGCATGACCGTGCTTGCCAACGCCACCACACACCAACACCGGCTCTCACACAAGCCCAGGCTCGGAAGCATGGTAGCATACGCACACTCGAGTGCACACACACACACACACACACACATGTACACAGACACATGCACATATACATATACATGCAGCTGCCGCAGGTTAGCAGACTAACACGCTCAGACACACATATTTTCCTATGTTAGACCCATCTCTCTAACCGGATTCCTATCAAGCCATTCAGCTCACCGCAGGCCCCGGTCACTGTCTCCTAAAAACAAGCCCTTCCCTGAGCCCTGCCTCTGCTCCCAGCCTGGGCTGGTTAAACCCCAGCAGCCTCAGGTCACACCTGGTGGCAGAAGGAAAGTGGACACCTACCTTCAGAGCTCTGCTCCTATCCCTACATCAGGAAAAGGCTCAGGTCAGAAGCTAGGGCCACCAGAGTCCCGTGGGGAGCCCTTCAAATGAGCTAAGCTTTCCTGGCAGCTGCGTTCTCTGAGCAAGAGGGCAGGCAGGTCATTGAGCAAGGGTCCCCCACACCCTGTCAGAAACTCTGCCATTGCAACACCAGAGAGGAACTGACAGGGGACAGGGCTCAGTTTCCTAAGACGCGAGAGGAATGGAGAGTTGCAGGGTGGGGCCCATCCACTGAACCCTGATTTGCCCCTGAGGGGCCCGAAGATCCTAGGGACAGGGGTCCCCCAACTTCTCTCTCTTGACAGGATATCCCCTGTGGATATCCCCTCCTCTTCTCTCTGGGTCCTGCCTTCCTGCCTGATACCACTTACCTCTTCCGGGAAGCCTTCCTGGGTCCACCAGGTCTGGTTGCCTGTGCTGTGATGGTTCTGTCACATCAGTGCCCCACCTGCCCCTCTAGCCCTTCACTGTAACTGTTCTCCCATTTGTGTGCTGGTGGGGGCGACACCCATGTGGTGAGCTGTGGGGCGGGCTGTGGCGAGAAGCCTGCCCTAAAATAGCCCCCGTTTAGCAGGCCCTGGCTGAGATCTTCACCTCGGACCCCTCCCCTGGGGTGAAACCGCTGTGCCTGGAAGGCCCCAGAACGCTGCAGGGTGGTTAGGGCCGGGGCAGAGAACACCGGCGATGGGGAGGAGGGCGTCCTGCGGCAGCTGAAGGGATTTCAGGGCCAGTGAGAGGAGAGACGGGGCTGCTAAGAAGACAAAGGCGACAGGGGGAGAATGAAGATCTTCTCACAGGAAGACACGCATGCACCTCAAATGTCGCACAGGGCTGACACACAGCTCTGTGCAGCCTTCCGGCCCATTCTCAGACATGCATGTCGCCTCAGCTACAACATGCAGAGACACCACACTGCCCTGCACGATTCCCAGACACACACATCTTCAAGTGCACGCATACCCATGTACACACATGTACGCACCCATGTACGCACACCTCCAGCCCGCCTCCATCGAGACAAAGACACACACACACATGCACACACAGCCTCTCCACAAGAGTAGCACATATGGAATTTATAGCATTTACTATGTGCCAGCCACCGCATTAAGCACTTTACCTATATTATCTCATTTTACCCTCACAACAATCCCATGATTTGAATAATATTATTATCAATGAGGCAAGGGAGGCACGGAGAGGTTTAGAAACTTGTCCAAGGCCACACACACGACGTATCCTGGCGTTTGGCTCCAGAATGTCAGCTCTCAGCCACTTTTCTCCATGCTGCTCGTCACAGACATGGATCATTGCAGCCATTCCTGCAAGTGTGCACAGACGCAGGGCCCCCTGGGGACACGCACACAAACACACAGTGACACGCAGCCCTCCCCCGAGACACAGACCAGGACACAGGCTTATATAACCAGGTCCGCACACAGATACAACGTTGCCATTTCGAATGTCACCAGAGTACGTATTGCCACAATGTGTCTGTATCAGCCCAAGGGGAGCCCTGGATTCCTCGTGCCTGGAACGGGGAGGAGGGAGGCTGCGCCTCTGTGAAGGAGGCAGAATGCTCTGTGGGCTGAGGAAGAGCCTTGGCAGGGCTGGCAGTGTGGTCGGCAGGCGGAGGTGGGCAGCTCTCAGGGCTTTGTCACTCCCAGGCTTGATGGGGACCAAAGCCCCAGCTGGGCCTGGCTTCCTGGAGACCAGTGTGCTGAGGGGGTCAGGGGACAGAAGGCACAGGGTCTGGTATCCGCGTGGCCCAAAGCAAAGAGGGGGCCACACTGCATGTAACCACGCTTATGTGATTTTGTCAGAGGAAAGAAAGGGATGGGGAGAGACAGAAAAAGAAGCAGAGAGAGAGACAGAGACAGAAGCAGAGCCTGAGAGATATAGAGAGACATGGAGAGAGAGGAGAGAGTGCCAGACAGACATAGAGACAGAGACAGACGGAAGAGACAGACATGAAGGGGACCCGGGGTGGTGTGCTGGTAAACTGATTCTCACAAAAAATCCCAAGCCCTGATTTGTCGCATTTGCTGATTTCCATGGTGTAAATACTGCCACCATGGCTGATTTAAAGCCACCAAAATGACTTCCTGATTGCTGGGCTGGGAGAGATGCGCAGAATCAGCTCCCCCGAGCCAGAACCAGCCGGCTCCAGACACCACGGCCCCGGAAAGGAACAGAGACAAAGAGAGACTGGCAGAAATGGGGGTCAGAGAGAAAGGGCAACTGAGAGATGGAAAGGGACAGAAACTGAAAAACAGAAAGAGATGAAGCAAAAGGGGTAGAGAGAGAGAGAAAGAGAACTAACGAGACAAAGAGAAAAAAGACAGAGCCAGGGAGCAGGTGGGGTTCTCTAAGCTCGGGCATCTCATGAAAACATCTCCCAGGACTCCTCATCCTCCCCTTGTTGGGTCCCTACCCGGCACTAGTTCTTTGCAGAGTAATGTGACTTCCTAGAAATCTGGGTGGGCAATAACTACTCGAGAAAATGTGCTAATTTATTAAACATTTGCACAATGGCTGGGATGGTGTCAAACCATTCCCACACATGATCTCACTTAGTGACCCTGTGAGGGAGGTTTTAGTGCTACCTCTATTGTGCACATGAGGAAACTGAGGCACAGAGATGAAGCTGCCCGAGATTGTACTGTGAGTGAGGGAAGCTGAAACGCAACGCCAATCAGTCCGGCTCTGACAGCGCTGCTTCCTCCTGCAGTCCTTGTAGAAGCAATAATGTGTGACCCCTTGTGAGCACCTACGGTGTGGTTGTGCCAGGCCCTGTGCTTCATGTTGTGAATCCTGCATGCGACAGAGAGAGAGAGGGAGGGAAAGGAGGGAGGGAGGGAGAGGGAGAAAGATCTGCTCAGACTCTCTCCAGCAATCACTGAATCTGAAGCCAGTTCTCTCTTTTCTCAGCACTGAACTTGGCTGCCTGCTAACACCAGAAAGGGAGCAGTTCAAAGAGTGGCCACAGCATTCTGGGCACTGCAGGGACTTGGGTCTGTTTATGAAAATGTCTCTTGAACATCCGGTTGACAAGGGCTGGCTCTCAGAGCCCCATCGGTGTCAAAATCAGGTTGTGGGTATCAGAGCTGAGGTCCAAGCCTGGACCAGGGCACGCCCCCTTCAACATCTGCCCCTGTGTAGCCCTCCCCAGCTCTGTTCTTTACTAGCTCCGTGACCTTGGATGAATGACATAAGCCCCCTGGGCCTCAGTATTTGCACCTGCACCTCCTGAGCAGAGCTGTTGTGGGGCTTGATGAGGTGTGGCTTTTGCCCAGTGTGCAGTGGCCAAGCGTGGCCGAGAGCCACAGCAGCAAAGCCAGAATGGCCCCCAGGGACCATTTATCAGTTCACCCCCTTCTGTGCATAGGGGGGAAGTGACTTGCCTGAGGTCACACAGCCAGATGGCATTCAAAGCCAGGACTATTAATTCAGGTCCAGAGCTCTGCTCCTAGCACTGTGGCTGTGTTCTTCAAAGCCCGAGCAGGAGACCATGCTGTCCCCGACTGATGAATGCTACGCTTCCTACCCAGCCCCTGGCCAACTGAACACACCAGCCCTGCCATATCGTAGAGGGCCACCCCGCAGGAAAACTGCCACCTACCTACCCTTACACCCGGGCATAGGAGCCCCAGGCCCACCCATCCTTTCTTGAGGTCCACACTTCCCAAAGCCATGTTAGGGCTTTGACGTAGACACAAGATGTCTCATCCTCCCCAACCCCCACCAAGTATCTGTGGGATCTAGAGACAGACATAGGCTCAAATTCTACCCTGCCTGACAACTAGCTTGAGGCATTGGGCAAGTCAGTTCATCTCTCAGAGCCGCACTTTCTTTGCCTATAAAGTGAGAATGCAAATCTCTACCTGAGAGGATTCCTTCTGAGCATCCAATGCCATGAAACCCCTAAAAGTATCAGGCATACAGTAGGTGCTCAGTGAACTTTCACTTCCCTTGAGGGCAGGTGGGGGGGTGGAGGTGGTGGTGTGCAGGGCTGGGCAGGGCTAAGAAGAAAGAGAAGTTCCCAGGGGTGGTGGGAGGGCTGAGCGGCCCAGCTGCCTGGGGGATTTCACCAGAAGGGAACTGGGACTTTGGGCTGCCAGGAAACCACCATTCTGCAAGAGTTCCGGCTTCTCCTCAGGCCTCCAGGCTAAGGACAGAGGGGCAGGAGGCAAATCTAAGGTCCACAGGTAACCCCCAGGCCACTGCACCCCATCCCTCATTAAGATCTGACCTCAGGCCAGGCGCGCGGTGGCTCACGCCTATAATCCTAGCACTCTGGGAGGCTGAGGTGGGCGGATCGCTTGAGGTCAGGAGTTCGAAACCAGCCGGAGCAAGAGCGAGACCTCGTCTCTACTATAAATAGAAAGAAATTAATTGGCCAACTAATATATATAGAAAAAATTAGCTGGGCATGGTGGTGCATGCCTGTAGTCCCAGCTACTCGAGAGGCTGAGGCAGTAGGATTGCTTGAGCCCAGGAGTTTGAGGTTGCTGTGAGCTAGGCTGATGCCACGGCACTCACTCTAGCCTGGGCAACAAAGCAAGACTGTCTTGGAAAAAAAAAAAAAAAAAAAAAAAAGATCTGACGTCAGTCCTAGCACTCTGGGAGGCCGAGGCAGGCAGATAGCTCAAGGTCAGAAGTTCGAAACCAGCCTGAGTAAGAGTGAGACCCTGTCTCTACTATAGATAGAAAGAAATTAATTGGCCAACTAATATATATAGAAAAAAATTAGCCGGGCATGGTAGTGCATGCCTGTAGTCCCAGCTACTCGGGAGGCTGAGGCAGAAGGATTGCTTGAGCCCAGGAGTTTGAGGTTGCTGTGAGCCAGGCTGACGCCATGGCACTCACTCTAGCCTGGGCAACAAAGTGAGACTCTGTCTCAAAAAAAAGATCTGACGTCAGTCCTCTCTGAACCTGCCCCCCCCCATCCCTGGCTCGCTCACTAAGGCCCCTACCTCTCACTCACCTCTCTCCATCTCCAATCATCCTTTCTTGAGGCCTCACAACGCCCCCGCCCCAGTGTCCCTGGATTAAGAAGACATGCCTCTGTCTGACTCTGCCACCACCCTGGGGAGGCCAGGTAGGGGCGGTGGGGGCGGTGGGGAGGTGGCCTCTCTGTGCCAGACTAGCTTTACCCTCCACATGGTCCTGAGGGCAACAGCTGAGTTTTCTCCACTTCTTGTGGGTAAAAGTGGTTTTCCACCTGCTGCTGAAAACCTACCCACCAACCTCGAAAACCCCTGTTTTAGGGATCCTGAGAGTCTACCAGGCTGGGGTTTATGATTTTCAGGAGATGGGAGCCATGGTAGTCCCAGGGGAGCTGAGGGAACAGGAATCTAGATTCCACAGAGTGGCCAGATAGGAAGCCCCCTCCCCAGTCCCACCTGGGGCCAGGCCAGAATGCTCTGTGCAGGAAGGGCTCTGGCTCCTCCTTCCCCAGCTGTGGGGTTCCCTACACAGCCTCCCAAGGTCAGGCCACTTCCTCTGCTGCATGGGCCCCAGGTGGCTGCAGAGAACACCCAACACCCATGCATGTGCTTACAGGCTCATGCTCATTCACTCAAAACCCAGAACTATAAACACTCTCACACACCCTCAGTGGGAACCTGAGCCAGTCCTCAAGCTGTGAACCCCACGCCCTTCTCCCCTCCCCGAACCTCCTTGCCAGAGGGCCACACCAGATTTGGTAGGCCTGGGGTCTGGGGGACTCTGGCCTCAGCTCTGGCTATATCAGAGAAGAGATGCTCTGGACGTCTGGTATCTACTGCTGGCCCTGCCGTCACTGACTCCCAAACCTCCATCTTCCCAACTGTGAAATGGGAACAGAGCCTCATTCTCCCTTCATCACCACAGGTGGAAGGATGCCAACCTCCTCAGGGTCCCTGGGAGACTACATACCGGAGCGGTGGCCAGCTGGTGTGGCGCCATGGAGGGTGGGGATCAACCAGCAGGGATCAACCCTGCTGATCTCCCCAGCATGGGCCCTCAACAGATCCACAGACATTCATCTATTAGATGCCAACTGCGTGCAGGCCTCCCTGGAGACCCTGACAGTGAGACCCAGGCTTTGTGGTCCCCCTCCATGGTTTTGAGGAGGTGAAGGAGACCCTTGCTGGGTCAGTGATGATTCTTAACCCCTTCAGGACACTCAGCACAAACTGCTTTCTCCACCTGATTCTCAAGGGATGGGGGGTGAGTGCAGAGATAATTTCTCCCCTGGAGACCCCGAGAAGCCCCAAATTTGCCTATGGTCACGCAGCAATTAAGACCTCAGCCTTGCTGAGAACTCGGGTCTCTGAAGCTGCAGGTCCCCCACCCCAGAATCCCCGAAAAGTGAGCATCGTCGCCTCTCCGCTCTGTTGGGCAGCCCACCCGCGACCGAGGATTCACATAGGGGCGGAGGCGGGGACCAAAGGGGCTGCGCCAGCAATGAGCCCAACAGTGGCCCGGCGCCCGCTCGCCTCTCCGCCCTCTGGTTGCCATGGAGACAGCCCCTCCGGGCATTCGCGGTCAAAAACAGGATTTCCGTCGCGGCGGCCAGCAATTCCCGGATCCCGAGGGGAGCGTGGACCGAGACCGCCGCTGCGTGCGGGAGGGGGCGCCAGAGGGGCCCGCCCCTGCCGAGGGCGGGGACTTCCCCAGGAAGTGGGGACCCACGCCTCCAGCGCCTTGAAAGAGTCCCGCGCCTCTGAACCTGAACCTGACCACCAGTGTGGGGGCGGGCAGGTCGGGGGCCGCAGCGGTGGCTGTCTCCCCTCCCTCCCCTGCTGGCTATAGGCTGCACCCCGACTTCTGCAGATTTGGGACAGAGGAACTTCCTGGACCCTGGGAACTGCACCCCACG